TCGTAGTGTATATTACGGTCATACAATAGTCTTTAATTGGTCTTGATTAAATGTTTTGAGAGTATACATCAACCTTATCAAATTAATATTATACGGCAAGAATATCTTAGTAAGAGAAATACTACCACTTTTAATAATTTGGACCCCCTCGAGGGTTGCAACGGGTGATGCTCCGATATGAATAATACTGCAACGTCGACGCTCGTGTTTCTTGAGCCATTTAATCGATAGACCTGGTAATATTTCGAAGGCATCTTCAGGTGCATCTCCGAACAAGACTTCAATAATAAGCGTAGAAATATTAGGTATTGCACTCAGGTTAACTTTAATATCATCGTATTCAGTAACCAAATTTAAACTAACATTTTTTACGCCCAGACGACTATATAACATATGACCTGGGTCTTCTGGTAGGGTGGTGACTAACACACTTTTTCGTTTTGATGGGATATAAGCCGCGAGTACGATGCCACTATTTATTATCTTAGTTAAATTATGTGCCTTACCCATTATCACATAAGGTGGGGTAATGACGATTTTCAGTAGCCACTCGATGTTTGCTTCGACCATAGTCGATTTATTATCGCCATTGAGAATAATATTGTACAAAGTGTTTTTATGGAGTCTACTAACATGGACATCGCTTAAATCTTCTAGATTACCCGTGAATGTAACTTCTTTCCGCTTGTATACATTATCTTGTAAGTGTAAAGCGTATAACTTACCATCGGTACCGGGTTTACCGAATCCTTCTGTGTCTCCGAGATCGGAAAGCGCAATTGTATTACATTGTCTGAGCATTCCAGGGCCTGATGAATCAACCATTATTTATAATATGGAGTGTTACACTTAAGTATCTTATATGTACAGGTTGGTGTTTTACATCCAATACAGAAATTTTGAGGTCTCAAATCATACCCAGCTTTAATTTTTTATATTGTAATGTTGAGAAAGATTCCGTTCTACCGCTATTATATTTTTCATCTTTCACTAGAACAGATCTGAGCAGAGTTGAAGGACTTTCTGGTTGAATATTATCCGTTGTACTTATTTGATCAAGATGGATGCACAACTCTTTATAGTGAACTAAATCGGGCAATTTAACTCCATGCAGCACTGTTTCGTTGGGTGGTATTACTCCTGCCCATGCATGCATATCCAAGTGTAATTGCTAAGTTCTCGTAAAGAGTTACACCCTTTTCTCCAGAGTCTAATTTTAGTATCCCATTCGACTCATTTTGTGTGAGACTAATTCCATTAGGCTTAAAAATTCCATCATTGAGTGAGCATACGCTGTAATACCCATCAGGTATAATAATACCATTTTTTTCATATAATATAGACATCTCATTATTACCTCTCACAGTATTTATATTGGTCCACCTCGGGTAATACGTTACATCGCATAGAGCAACTTCGAGTTGTCCATCCGAGTTATCGATATTATGAAGCCGTTGAATAGACTGACCATTGGTTATTCCCGGGAGTGTAACATACATATTAAATATACAATGATACTATATCACAACTTAAATATGGAATCAACCATTATTTATAATATGGAGTGTTACACTTAAGTATCCTATATGTACAGGTTGATGTTTTACATCTAATACAGAAATTTTGAGGTCTGAAATAATACCCCGCTTTAATTTTTTATATTGTAATGTTGAGAAAGATTCCGTTCTACCGCTATTATATTTTTCATCTTTCACTGGAACAGATCTGAGCAGAGTTGAAGGACTTTCTGGTTGAATATTATCCGTTGTACTTATTTGATCAAGATGGATGCACAACTCTTTATAGTGAACTAAATCGGGCAATTTAACTCCATGCAGCACTGTTTCGTTGGGTGGTATTACTCCTGCCCATGCATGCATATCCAAGTGTAATTGCTAAGTTCTCGTAAAGAGTTACACCCTTTTCTCCAGAGTCTAATTTTAGTATCCCATTCGACTCATTTTGTGTGAGACTAATTCCATTAGGCTTAAAAATTCCATCATTGAGTGAGCATACGCTGTAATACCCATCAGGTATAATAATTCCATTTTTTTCATATAATATAGACATCTCATTATTACCTCTCACAGTATTTATATTGGTCCACCTCGGGTAATACGTTACATCGCATAGAGCAACTTCGAGTTGTCCATCCGAGTTATCGATAGTATGAAGCCGTTGAATAGACTGACCATTGGTTATTCCCGGGAGTGTAACATACATATTAAATATACAATGATACTATATCACAACTTAAATATGGAATCAACCATTATTTATAATATGGAGTGTTACACTTAAGTATCCTATATGTACAGGTTGATGTTTTACATCTAATACAGAAATTTTGAGGTCTGAAATAATACCCCGCTTTAATTTTTTATATTGTAATGTTGAGAAAGATTCCGTTCTACCGCTATTATATTTTTCATCTTTCACTGGAACAGATCTGAGCAGAGTTGAAGGACTTTCTGGTTGAATATTATCCGTTGTACTTATTTGATCAAGATGGATGCACAACTCTTTATAGTGAACTAAATCGGCAATTTAACTCCATGCAGCACTGTTTCGTTGGGTGGTATTACTCCTGCCCATGCATGCATATCCAAGTGTAATTGCTAAGTTCTCGTAAAGAGTTACACCCTTTTCTCCAGAGTCTAATTTTAGTATCCCATTCGACTCATTTTGTGTGAGACTAATTCCATTAGGCTTAAAAATGTCATCATTGAATGAGCATACGCTGTAATACCAATCAGGTATAATAATACCATTTTTTTCATATAATATAGACATCTCATTATTACCTCTCACAGTATTTATATTGGTCCACCTCGGGTAATACGTTACATCGCATAGAGCAATTTCGAGTTGTCCATCCGAGTTATCGATAGTATGAAGCAGTTGAATAGACTGACCATTTGTTATTCCCGGGAGTGTAACATACATATTAAATATACAATGATACTATATCACAACTTAAATATGGAATGAACCATTATTTATAATATGGAGTGTTACACTTAAGTATCCTATATGTACAGGTTGATGTTTTACATCTAATGCAGAAATTTTGAGGTCTCAAATAATACCCTGCTTTAATTTTTTATATTGTAATGTTGAGAAAGATTCCGTTCTACCGCTATTATATTTTTCATCTTTCACTGGAACAGATCTGAGCAGAGTTGAAGGACTTTCTGGTTGAATATTATCCGTTGTACTTATTTGATCAAGATGGATGCACAACTCTTTATAGTGAACTAAATCGGCAATTTAACTCCATGCAGCACTGTTTCGTTGGGTGGTATTACTCCTGTCCATGCATGCATATCCAAGTGTAATTGCTAAGTTCTCGTAAAGAGTTACACCCTTTTCTCCAGAGTCTAATTTTAGTATCCCATTCGACTCATTTTGTGTGAGACTAATTCCATTAGGCTTAAAAATGTCATCATTGAATGAGCATACGCTGTAATACCCATCAGGTATAATAATACCATTTTTTTCATATAATATAGACATCTCATTATTACCTCTCACAGTATTTATATTGGTCCACCTCGGGTAATACGTTACATCGCATAGAGCAACTTCGAGTTGTCCATCCGAGTTATCGATAGTATGAAGCAGTTGAATAGACTGACCATTTGTTATTCCCGGGAGTGTAACATACATATTAAATATACAATGATACTATATCACAACTTAAATATGGAATGAACCATTATTTATAATATGGAGTGTTACACTTAAGTATCCTATATGTACAGGTTGATGTTTTACATCTAATGCAGGAATTTTGAGGTCTCAAATAATACCCTGCTTTAATTTTTTATATTGTAATGTTGAGAAAGATTCCGTTCTACCGCTATTATATTTTTCATCTTTCACTGGAACAGATCTGAGCAGAGTTGAAGGACTTTTGAGTTGAATATTATCCGTTGTACTTATTTGATCAAGATGGATGCACAACTCTTTATAGTGAACTAAATCGGGCAATTTAACTCCATGCAGCACTGTTTCGTTGGGTGGTATTACTCCTGCCCATGCATGCATATCCAAGTGTAATTGCTAAGTTCTCGTAAAGAGTTACACCCTTTTCTCCAGAGTCTAATTTTAGTATCCCATTCGACTCATTTTGTGTGAGACTAATGGCCAACATTCCTCAGTTATGCCCCTTTACTACTTCGCCAATAGATGGCGCCAAACGCTACGGTCCTGCGCGTACTTCCGGTATATTACGCGGTTCATAGATATTTGCACGACCAACAACTACAACGAAGTATTTACGATGCCTTCGACGTGCTGCTGTGTCCCGGGATGCTGCAATCGAGGTGGTTTGTCGTTTCCGAGGGAACCCATGTTGCAGAAACGATGGTTGATAGCTATTCGGAGGAGCGACGAATCAAACCAAGGCAAGATGTGGAAACCGTCACCTCACAGTGTTGTGTGTCATTCCCACTTCAGACCGTCTGATTTCATTGCTGTAACTAGTTAAGGTAAGATATTTGGGTACCTTGTTATGTTTCTATTCGTTGGCAGATTTAATTAACTTGCATGCCAATTATATTTGTTATATTTTCTTGCATTGAAATTACGAAGAGGGTTTTACGTGACTCAGAAATGTGTATCCAGTATGCAGAAATGTGAAGAATGGATGCAGACAAAATAGAATATGTTCCGTCCCGCGGGACACACTTATTTTCACAGATAGTTTGATTTTGTCATTGAGTTAAATTGAGTAAAGATTCTTAAAACTTCGAAGTGTGTGATTTTTTTCACAATAATTTTAGTTCCCTCCTGTCAGAGTAGGCGAGTAAATTTTAGTATTGGCTAATTCTAATGTAATCATGTTTTTCTGTGTTTGCATGTGAACCTATGAGTATATTTCATTGGTTTTTTTAAAACCAAGATAGAAATAATGTGTCATTTAGGCCTTACTATAGTAGCCAATTTTTTGCCAGTCAGTGATCATGGTGATGTTTAGGTTTGACCCTCAAAAATTTCATGCAAGGGCCTTTGAAATCAATTACTGGGGGTCTAGTGCATACCCAGTTAATTAAGGTAAAACCCTGTTTACCACCATTATATTCCTGTTTATGAAGTTGTTGATGTTTGACCATAACCCTTCTTAGTTTTCTTCTTTAATTTGTTGAATTGATGATTACCAGGAATGTCAACACATATTTGACGTTTTTGCCTTTAATGCGTCATGTTACATTTTCCTGCAGGTGCTTGTTTTCCACAGAGATGAGGCACAGATGATTCAAGAATACAGGTTCATGTTTGTTCACTTTTGATATGTATTTGTCAGAATAGTGTCATGTGTACGTGTTGAACTTATAGACACTTCTCTGTATCAGGCATTAGATGTATGTAATGTTGAGACTATATCTACGAAAATTGTCAGCTAATTTATATCATAATTTTCCTTAATTTAAATGTTGGTTTACTTTTCTAATGTATTGATGTGTATCACTATTATGTTCATAATGTGACAAAACATATCGTGCCCATAGACATTTTTTATTTCCCTGCAAATTAACTTAAATCTAATCATAAAAAGCTATCTCACAACTGGTAGTAAAAAGATTGCACAATATCTGTTTGGAAAATAATAATCTACTGCTGTTTTCCCCAGGGTGTACACCTCTGAGGAAACAGAGAAAACCAGATGCTGTACCATCAATCTTTCCCTGGACTGCATCAGCCAACGCACTTGAGGCCGATGGAGGATTAAGGAAATCCCGCATTGAAAGACGTGAGAGCCAAAAGAGGACATTTAAAGCAATGGATACAGATTGTGATATTGAATGTGACATCAGTGAAGTAGCTGGGGAGGAAATAATTGACAATGTTGAGTTTGATGACATGAATACCGACTTAAACATTTGTTCTGCAGATAGTGCAGAGGTTGAATATGAAAGTACATCAGCTCAGACAGACAAATTTCCAATGCTTTCATTACAAAGTATTATGTTTAATGCTGCAGCAATTTTGTTTTATACAGGACTGTCAAACTATACAGACTTCACCTTTGTACTTGCAAGTTTGGGTCCGTGTGCATATCACCTAAATTATTTGTACAGCAAAGTTGACAGTATGACTATCAGTGTGGAAAATCAATTGCTTTTAACACTTATGAAACTGCGCCGACATAAGACTAACTTTGAACTTGGTCTTCATTTTGGAATTTCAGAGAAAACTGTATTAAATGTATGGATCACCTGGGTAAATTTTATGTATAGACAGTGGAGTGAGCTTGATAACTGGCCAGAACGAGACTTAGTGCACTATTTTTGTCCTTCTGATTTCAAATCCAAATTTCCATCCACACGAATTATCATTGATGGTACTGAATGCCCTATCCAGAAACCAAAACGCCCCATAGCTCAGCAGTCTACATACTCAACGTATAAAAATCGAAATACTATCAAAATACTTGTTGGATCCACACCAGGTGGTCTTGTGTCGTATGTGTCTCCTGCGTATGGTGGCTCCACAAGTGATCGTCAAATAGTAGAGCGTAGTGGTTTGACAGTGATGTGTGACCCAGGAGATAGTATTATGGCCGATAAAGGTTTCAACGTACAAGATATTTTTGCACCAAAAGATGTTACCATTAATATGCCAACATTCTTCTCAAAGAAAAACCGTATGTCTGGCAAGACTGTTATGCGTGATAGGAAAATATCAAGCAAAAGAGTTCACATTGAACGTATTATTGGTCTGGCAAAAACATTCAAAATACTCACTGAACCTCTTAACAGTTCAGAAACCAAATTAGCCACAGAAATAACCACGGTTTGCTTCATGCTTTGTTCTTTCAAAAAGTGCATTGTTCCCACTACTTGCTAATCATTAAAAATATCTTTGAGTCCAGGTGGACGTTAGTCAGACGTAGAGTATGGAGATTTGTTTCTAATTTCTTTCAAAAAGGCCTGTTATTTGCGTTTGCTACATGATTAAAGATAATTGTTGCTAAATATTCATGAGGATAAAGTTGAATGTAACATGTTATCGATTATGTATCATGTTGAGACTAGAATGGGAATCTGTGGTCAAAAAGCAAGTTTGAAGCAAATTTACCATTTGTGCAGCCACAATCAATCATACTCTTTTGTCAAGGTACAAACATAAATGTGTTAGTATCAAAGATTATGATAATGTAATGCTAAACGTCCTGTTCAATGTGGTGTTAAACCCATCTCACTCACTGAATTTGTTTTAAATTTATGACATCAGTAACATGAATTTAAGAATGTTGACATTGTTTGGTGCGTACTGTTACATTATCCCCTGCCACAAAGTGTGAGAGACACATTTCTTGTCCGAGCATAATTCGGAAACTGTTTCATATGTTATTATGAAACTTTGCACATGTATCAAACACAAGTTGAACTGGTGCCCTTTCCTGTTTTCCATGGCAGCAATTTGGATTAAACCCAAATAATGGTTGCTTTTATTTCACGAACTTAAAATCTGAATAAGTTGAAGTGTATATTTCTGGATCATATATCCATTATTTTTTCAATGGATACATGTTTACTGAGAAACAAATTGTAATTTATTGTGTCCCATGGCTGTGTATTCTTGTTTCATATGATACTGGCAGCAGCTAGACCGGTCCAGATATTTGGCACATCTTAGTGCTGTTGCTTCAGCTCTCTCAGATGTTATAAAAGGCAATCATGACAAGAAAGAAGTCAATGACAATGTTTTTTTATCATTCCCTTAAACAGTTCAGCTGCAGATAATAATCACATGACAGTTGTAATTCCTCAGATATAGAGCTGAAGGAGTATGCTTCAAGCAGTGATGATATTTATGAGTATGGACACTGAATTGTGATTATGTATTGCACTGCTTCATCTATATTTAGATCTTCCAACTATTAACTACTGGAGTACTTAACAGATGGTTGCCATCGTCACAAAAGGAGTTAAAAGTTAATGTCACATCAATACTATTTCAGCCATATAGCGACGAGACCAAGTTGATATACACAATTTACTCATGAATGCAAAGGTATATTTAAAAACAATTTTTCATGCACATTTGGACATAACAATATCATTTATACAGTTTTAAAACACGGGTTATAGACCATCAGAAACCAAAGCTAGGCCACCTCGTCGGGGATCATGGGGACTTACGGTGCCTCTGCTTCCTGCACGATACCCCAGCAGGATTTATGTCATTAACTAAGCCACTGGTGGTTGTGCTCAATACTAGCCAGTCAGCAATGATGTCAGTTGATTATAGCATCACATCAAATTTAAAAACAGGCAATTAATGATTCACATACATATTTAGATTATTTTATTTTACAGACCATTTTTTCTTTCAAGTAGTTGATAATGAGGTGCCTGGTCATATAGTACTTTATCATCCAAAACTGGCTCCCACAGGAGATATCGCTTGGATGAGATCAAGCGATATCTACACTGTAGATATCGCTGCAATGAAATTACATCGGGTGAGATTCTCTATGTAACAGTAAGTACGAACTGACATCTGAGATTGTATTTATTTAGACTAGTGAAAGCATCCATGTATGGGACCAGTGTGTACGTTGTGATATTTAGATTATCCAACTTATAAATACTGGAGTGATTAAGAGATGGATGCCATTGTCACATAGTACTGTAACAGTAAGTACTAAATGTCTTAATAAACATCTGAGATTGTATTAATTTACACAAGTGAATGCATCAATGTATGGGACCAGAGTTCAACCTGGTTTTGTCTGATGCAACTCTTTTCACGTCAACATGCATCTGGTGAAATATCATCCTTAAATGGAGCCCCGCAAGTTATTTCATAACTTTTTGTTTGTGAATGTCCATATATGCAGAATATAATATGTTCAGCATTAAACATTGAGACTACAATTCTGTCTTTCTTGTTTATAGGGCTGATGACCATTGACACATGAGTATCAGCAGTAACTGAAATTTACCAGGAATACCTGTCATAATCTCTGAAATAGAATTTGTCAAGTAGTGCCTTTTTGAAAAAGGTGTCATAAAATGCCACAAGTTTTTCAACCATAGATTCAATGAAATGGTCATCTCGGGATACAGTAAAATATTTCAAATCCTTCATCGTGTATACAATAAAAATGCACTGTTTTCTACCAGTACAGTAGAGCTGCCCTTGCACTTGAAAGAAATATGGCTTGCTTTTGTCAAGGGTAAGTTTTCCCTCAGATACCTTCAAATAGGGAACAGTTATCTCAGAGATTAGACGGTCTTTAGATGCAAATGGACATTTCACTTCAATGGTAGTATCATCACTGAGAAGTGAATCAGGTGAAGCTGCGAGAAATGGATGAACATCTGACACAAACATGCCACATGGTGAGGTTTTGAAACCACTTGACTTTTCAAAAGCTTTTATTGCCACCTTTTCATATTTTCTGCCATGTCTAAGTGGTGGACTTTGAATGTCCTCGAAAGGCTTAGTCATTGATCTAGCAAGTTTATGAAAATCAGTTTTGTCTGTTGCCAAACAAATTTTCCCAAAATTGGAAGAAGAAATTCTCTGTGTGTGTTCAGTTTTCCATTCCTCGCTCTTTGACTGTTTACGGGTTATTATTTCAAGGTTGGTTTTGTCCATATCTGATATTTCTGATATATTCTGGGATTTCAGGTATTGGTCAGCTAAAGATAACTTAAGATAATCATGATCATGATTAACAGCAAATGGATTTGCTGGAGGAAACATTTGAGCAACTGGAAATGTATTGACACTAGGGTGGTTCAACCAAACATTGCGGAAAAAGTCAGGGTAATTTGGCACTTGGCGATACTGAACTGGTCGTGGGTCAAATATAACATTCAATTCACTGTTGCATAAATCAAGGTCAGTCGCCTTTATGGGACTGCCTTTATAGGGTTTACTTTTATGAAATGTTTGTAATCTTTGAGTACATGTTTCTTCAGTTAAAACATCGCCAGTTGTTGAAAACTTGTGCATAGCATATAACACTGCACAAATATGTTTGCAATGTCCTGATGGACCCTGGCCTGCAGCACACTCACACTGCCCCTCCACAACAGAACCATCGTCATCAATTGCAATATCGACTTTGTAAGTCACATGCTTCTTCATTTCAGCACAGCACTCAGACTTCAGGAAACACATGTTATTAGGTTTGGAATAACGAAAAAATTTCAAAAACCTACTAGTGTACAGATTCTTTGAACTTGAACCAAGTTTCTTCTGAAAAGGCTGTAAGTAATAATTTATAGCTTCATATGCTAAAAAAGGAAGATGACTGTCACCATTTACATCCCTATAAGTTTCAACTAGGGGCAGTGTCATTTCAAACTCCGCTTCAAGTTCTGGCTCTCTCCCAAAATTGCAGTTTCGGTCATAGCTCTCGAGTCTGAAAAACATTTGAAATAAACAACTGTAAAAGAAAAAACCTAATTGAAAAAAATCACTGTAAAATATATGGACTATTAAATTATTTTTGGAGTACACAAATGTCTTAGTTTCCATTTTGTCAAAAAGTACAATTATTTTAAGAACAGATCCCTGTAATTCCAAAGTCAACAAATCAGTATTTCTGTCAGTAAGGAAGCTTAAGCCATCTCTGCATTGTTATCAGTACTAAAACTTGACTTTTGTACAGTAATAATATCTTTACTTGCACTACAGTAATTGTATATATTTTTTTTTGTTAGAAAACAAACAACATATAATAATACGGATATTAATTTTAACACAAGAATAAGACATTGTGTCACAAAATAAAAATACATGCAGTGAATAAGGATTCTTGATGTGTTTGCCTTCGACCGGAATCGAACCGATGTCTAAAGATTACTCTGTTAGACTACCATTCAAAAGCTTCATTACATCTAATTTTAATATTAGAAATATAAACGCTGTTATGCACATTAAAGTATGGACCCATCATACTGGTGAAGAAATAATAAATGTGTGAACCTTTCACACCTGTGGATGAAATAAATGTTCTAGGTGAAACGATACAGGGAGTCCACATCACAGTACATAAGGTCACATTTTTATGTCAAATTGTGTTGAAACTTCTTGACTAAATATTTCAGAGCAGGTTCAAAAGTAAATATCTAGTAGTGAATTTGAAATGCTAATTACATCATATTTGCAGTACTTGACTGACACTTGGGTGTCATAAAACAAGTAGTAAGAAACTTAATTTAGCAAGTGTAAAAAAGTACTGTGTGTCATGCATGAAAACTTGATGCACCAGTGCACCAATGTATCGTTTCAGCCCTAATAAATGTGTGAACCTTTCACACTGAGGAAATAATAAATGTGTGAACCCATCACACTTGATAAAATGAATAAAACTATATGAAAATCTAAAAGGCACTCACTGTAAAGGACGATGAACTTGATAACCCTCAGCCTTTCTTCAGCCATCGGATGGTGCAGAGCTCAAGCAATTTTTAATGTTTTACAAATATTTCAGTACCTACCTCACGCTTTGTTACATCATGTTTTGGCCACAGATGAATCACAATTCCAAATATGTGTATAGCAACGAAGAAAGGGACGGGGGCATTATGATTATTTAAGATACATTTTTGGGGACATGTCATTTGTTGGGGGGTGGGGAGATAGGAGAAAATGTTACATGGATTGTGTGGGGGTTGGTGAGTAAAACGCGATGCAGTCCCTAGACCGCTTCCAAGATACTATCTCTGCTTAAATTTACTATGTATATTCGTATTATTGAATGATTGCCCAAATAATTATAGAATCTATAAACCGGAAGTTATCCCAACCGCATGTAAAAGGGTGTAATATTTTGCACACTGCCAGTGAGTCATTAATTCGAAGAATAAATTATTGTGACTGACACTTACCTTCCGTACAAGATCCGTGGTCACCGCTCTTTCCCTCGTCAGTGCATCTCAAAGCGTCCTTAGCAACGGGGGCATGTTGTTTACGTGAACGAAAACTGAAGCACTTATGTTGTCGGCATTATCGCGTCGATGCTTACGTTATTTGTTTAGCGATCTCAGTTGTCTAAACTAAACATATGTTCTACAAATGACCATGATACCAATATTGCACTGTGTAAAGTGACAAAATGGGGAATAGTTACTGTTACAATCTTATAAAATAACTGCTCAGTAAGAAAAGCCGAGAAACAGCAATAATCAGAAACTTACCGTTCTATCAGATCGATTTTTCTTCCTGACACTCGAGCACCTCGTGCTTTGAGCTCAGTCTTCAGTTTAGGCAACTTCCAGCTTCCGTAATTCATGATAGAAATAGGCCTTCAAGTACTACCGGCTGTTTACAGAAAAGCAAGTGGGTCAATGTCGACTGAAGTTTATATGTTCCCGCGGATACAACGAGTTGGACCGTAACTACCGCAGCGCCGCCAAGCGGGCAAGGGGGCGCAACTCCAGGAATGTTTGCCATTCCATTAGGCTTAAAAATTCCATCATTGAGTGAGCATACGCTGTAATACCCATCAGGTATAATAATACCATTTTTTTCATATAATATAGACATCTCATTATTACCTCTCACAGTATTTATATTGGTCCACCTCAGGTAATACGTTACATCGCATAGAGCAACTTCGAGTTGTCCATCCGAGTTATCGATATTATGAAGCCGTTGAATAGACTGACCATTGGTTACTTCCGGGAGTGTAACATACATATTAAATATACAATGATACTATATCACAACTTAAATTCGGAATCAACCATTATTTATAATATGGAGTGTTACACTTAAGTATCCTATATGTACAGGTTGATGTTTTACATCTAATACAGAAATTTTGAGGTCTGAAATAATACCCCGCTTTAATTTTTTATATTGTAATGTTGAGAAAGATTCCGTTCTACCGCTATTATATTTTTCATCTTTCACTGGAACAGATCTGAGCAGAGTTGAAGGACTTTCTGGTTGAATATTATCCGTTGTACTTATTTGATCAAGATGGATGCACAACTCTTTATAGTGAACTAAATCGGCAATTTAACTCCATGCAGCACTGTTTCGTTGGGTGGTATTACTCCTGCCCATGCATGCATATCCAAGTGTAATTGCTAAGTTCTCGTAAAGAGTTACACCCTTTTCTCCAGATTCTAATTTTAGTATCCCATTCGACTCATTTTGTGTGAGACTAATTCCATTAGGCTTAAAAATGTCATCATTGAATGAGCATACGCTGTAATACCCATCAGGTATAATAATACCATTTTTTTCATATAATATAGACATCTCATTATTACCTCTCACAGTATTTATATTGGTCCACCTCGGGTAATACGTTACATCGCATAGAGCAATTTCGAGTTGTCCATCCGAGTTATCGATAGTATGAAGCAGTTGAATAGACTGACCATTTGTTATTCCCGGGAGTGTAACATACATATTAAATATACAATGATACTATATCACAACTTAAATATGGAATGAACCATTATTTATAATATGGAGTGTTACACTTAAGTATCCTATATGTACAGGTTGATGTTTTACATCTAATACAGAAATTTTGAGGTCTCAAATAATACCCTGCTTTAATTTTTTATATTGTAATGTTGAGAAAGATTCCGTTCTACCGCTATTATATTTTTCATCTTTCACTGGAACAGATCTGAGCAGAGTTGAAGGACTTTTGAGTTGAATATTATCCGTTGTACTTATTTGATCAAGATGGATGCACAACTCTTTATAGTGAACTAAATCGGGCAATTTAACTCCATGCAGCACTGTTTCGTTGGGTGGTATTACTCCTGCCCATGCATGCATATCCAAGTGTAATTGCTAAGTTCTCGTAAAGAGTTACACCCTTTTCTCCAGAGTCTAATTTTAGTATCCCATTCGACTCATTTTGTGTGAGACTAATTCCATTAGGCTTAAAAATGTCATCATTGAGTGAGCATACGCTGTAATACCCATCAGGTATAATAATACCATTTTTCTAATATAATATAGACATCTCATTATTACCTCTCACAGTATTTATATTGGTCCACCTCGGGTAATACGTTACATCGCATAGAGCAACTTCGAGTTGTCCATCCGAGTTATCGATAGTATGAAGCAGTTGAATAGACTGACCATTGGTTATTCCCGGGAGTGTAACATACATATTAAATATACAATGATACTATATCACAACTTAAATATGGAATGAACCATTATTTATAATATGGAGTGTTACACTTAAGTATCCTATATGTACAGGTTGATGTTTTACATCTAATACAGAAATTTTGAGGTCTGAAATAATACCCCGCTTTAATTTTTAATATTGTAATGTTGAGAAAGATTCCGTTCTACCGCTATTATATTTTTCATCTTTCACTGGAACAGATCTGAGCAGAGTTGAAGGACTTTCTGGTTGAATACTATCCGTTGTACTTATTTGATCAAGATGGATGCACAACTCTTTATAGTGAACTAAATCGGGCAATTTAACTCCATGCAGCACTGTTTCGTTGGGTGGTATTACTCCTGCCCATGCATGCATATCCAAGTGTAATTGCTAAGTTCTCGTAAAGAGTTACACCCTTTTCTCCAGAGTCTAATTTTAGTATCCCATTCGACTCATTTTGTGTGAGACTAATTCCATTAGGCTTAAAAATGTCATCATTGAGTGAGCATACGCTGTAATACCCATCAGGTATAATAATACCATTTTTTTCATATAATATAGACATCTCATTATTACCTCTCACAGTATTTATATTGGTCCACCTCGGGTAATACGTTACATCGCATAGAGCAACTTCGAGTTGTCCATCCGAGTTATCGATAGTATGAAGCAGTTGAATAGACTGACCATTTGTTATTCCCGGGAGTGTGACATACATATTAAATATACAATGATACTATATCACAACTTAAATATGGAATCAACCATTATTTATAATATGGAGTGTTACACTTAAGTATCCTATATGTACAGGTTGATGTTTTACATCTAATACAGAAATTTTGAGGTCTGAAATAATACCCCGCTTTAATTTTTTATATTGTAATGTTGAGAAAGAATCCATTCTACCGCTATTGTATTTTTAATCTTTCACTGGAACAGATCTGAGCAGAGTTGAAGGACTTTTGAGTTGAATATTATCCATCGTATTATCTGATCAAGATGGATGCACAACTCTTTATAAGGAACTAAATCGGGTAATTTAACCCCCCTGTGCTGATGTCTTGAGTACTGTTATATCTCCATCTGCAAATCCAAGTGTAATTGCTAAGTGCCTGTAAAGCTTGACATCCTTTTCTTCAGCTTTTAAAATCAGCATCCCATTCGACTCATTTTGTGTGAGACTAATTCCATTAGGCTTAAAAAATTCATCATTGAGTGAGCATACGCTGTAATACCCGTCAGGTATAATGTGTTTTTTACTATTTATTACTGTCTCATTATTACCTCTTGCAGCATTTATATTGGTCCACCTCAGGTAATACGTTACATCGCATAGGGCGACTTCGAGTTGACCATCCAAATTATCGATAGTATGAAGCAGTTGAATAGACTGACCTTGCATGGAATTCCACAAATAATCCGTACAATAGGTGGGCATTCGAACGTATTTGTCAGGAATTTAATATTTCTACGAGTAAAGATTGGCATATTAAAGGAGCAAACCAAGGTCTAGGTGTTCCGTACGGTGGACAAAGAACTGTTAAAGAAGTCAGCGATGATTTTGTTAAAAAAACTCATCAACCATTCGATCCATTTAAATTGTTACAGAAAAACAATCTTTTTGTAAGAATGCATAATCTTTATCATGGCTAAGAACTTTCGAGTAACGATTAGAGAGGTTTTCTTATGAGTTTTAAGGGTGGTTGGCTTATATTGTTACAAAATTTATACAACTGTACGATACCGCAAACGCTTGGAAAGAAATTCTATATGATAAAACGGAAAATAATTTTACTAACCCAGGAGTTGTAAGAGTTAATGAATCGATAAGAACTTATGTATGGCCAATTCTCGGTGCACAATCGTAAACACAAACGTCCATTATCGGTTCTGGGAGGGCGCTCGATGCGCAAAAACAGTTTGTCGCAAACGTGGAGGACGCCATTAATTCACCAGTTGACATACCATCGTCTATAGAGCGTTATCAAGATGTATTACAGTACGCTCAATCCAAAGTGGACTTCGTTTATGCGCCGGGATTATACATCCGAGTAATATGGAACTTAAGATCGGTCAAGTGATAGGTTATAATAATAAAATTGTTATTGCTACCGATCAACAAAAACCAGGTATAAATTCAGACATTAATGTCGAATTAATAACGCAAACAAACACAGGCGAAACGGGAATAGTCAAGCCACAGTTATCTACTATCGCTAAAACATCTACTGACGCACAACCACAAGTGCCACCGCATATTGCTGCTAAAAATCAACAACATATCGATGAAAAAACAGCGCTTTTATTAGGTGGAGTCGCGGTTGGTTTACTTATGATTTGGTTAAATAGTCTTTAGCGGATACGTACAACAGCCCTGCAATTGCTACGATCAGTGCCCACAAGTTTCGACTAAGCCAAGTGGTGGTCTTAGCTAATAAATAAAAGAGCCAGGAAACAATACTCCTTATTATACCAGGAAGTGCAGCCGCGGCTTTTTCAGCAAGCTTTCCCAGTGCTGAACCTAATGCTTTTAAATGCTTTTTTATCCACTCTTTTATACCATCCCTATCAGTAGGCAGTGATCCGCCACTACCACCTGTACTGCCACCAGTTAACGCGAGAGTCAAAGTCGATATAATAAATCCCAACGCGGTTAAAATACTGGCAATTGTTATTCCCTGTTCTCTGAACAATGTTATAATTTTATTGGCCAGTGTAGTGTCATCGTTGAGTACTTGATCGATAGTTTCTCGAATTCGACTTATAGGTGAACGAAGTGCCTTTCTATTACTGGAAGCAGCTTCGAGGCGGGCCAATCTTTCCTCTTCTAAGTTACGTAAACTTTCCGCTACCCGGTGTCTACTGAACTCATCGCCCGCCTGTTCAAGTTTTGTTTTCTCATAAGCTATATGCTTGTAGATTTCGGATAGCTTGGCTATATTATTGATGAGTTCTCCCTGCATTGTTCACATTGCCTTGTCAAGACCTCGTCATTCCCTAATACTAAACTCCAAGGATTGTACCTGTAACGTGGAATTATCGTAATAGGTATCCAAGATTTCTCCGAGTCCGTCCGAGGCCACCTTCGAGGAAGCTTCCAAATTATCTATGTTACCGAGTTCATCACTCACAGTCCG